TGGAAGGCGAAATCCTAATGTTATGGCCTTCCACAGAGTTAATCCCGCACCACTGTGGCCCATGTGGGGCATCTCTCTCTCTCTCTCTCTCTCTCTCTCTCTCTCTCTCTCTCTCTCTTTCTCTCTCTGTGTGTGTGTGAGCCTCATAAGGTGGATGGAATCCAGCAGAGCTCAGTGACCCATGGAAGGCGAAATCCTAATGTTATGGCCTTCCACAAAGATAATCCCGCACCACTGTGGCCCATGTGGGGCACTTCTCTCTCTCTCTCTCTCTGCCATTTTGACCACGTCCAAGTCTTCCTCCAGGACGTGTATGAGCTCCTAATATTTCTTTTATACTATGTCCAATCCCAAAGTTTGTACGGTACATATGACCTGCAACAATAAATAAAATAGCAATAGCAAGATGGTGATGAGCTATGTCTGTAAGCCACATGCGAGGACCACCGCTCTCCTCCCACCCCCACATCCTCTTTCATTTTTTCTTGCCTGCACGATAAAGACAAGCTCCGCATAGACCCAGGAGCAGCACAAACAAGAAAATGCAACCAGCGCCACTTCGCTTCCAAAGGTGGTTTCCTTTCACGGTTGAGATCCGTCCCACAACATCACCATATTGGACTAGCTTCACAGTAATGAACATCATACCCGATTGCTTGAATTAGAATAATCTTGTCTCAGATTGGATGCAATGGGTAAGCATTCTTTCCATATTCTTACAGACTTCATTCTGTTTGGAGGAAGACAGGTTATCCAGAAGCGGAAAAATAGCCATAACGATTCCATTTGCTGCAACAGTTGCCTTCCATACTCTCCACATAGCATTCAACTTATTCCAGTGACAATTGCAGCTTAACGCTGATGCTCAAATAGTTCCCTTCTACCAGGAACCCAGCACAACTAGAGCAACATAGCAGTGTTCAAACGGTCGCGTTCTACCAGGAGCCAAGAAAACTGGAACAACATACCAGCTCCAGCTTTACACTGATGTTCAAAATAGTTTTATATTCCAGGTAGTGCAGGAAACTAAGGGTGAAGCTGCACTGGTGCTATGTTGATGCCTGGAAAGCATGATCCTGATCATAATCATGGTCATGTTCGTGCCCCATTTGCATGAACATAGCAGCCATAGAGCGTTGTGGCCATAAACTGCCAATCAGTAGCAACTCGTAGCATGGCCCCACTTTGGACCTAAACCATCATCCTGTAGTAGATATCCAAAGCCTTGTCACGAAGCAGCGCACAACCATCAGACCTCAATTATCGTCCCAGAGTGGATATCCAAACCTTTACGCTATTAATGATCAAGAAATTGTAACATCCACAAGCTGGCCATAAGATTAGCTACACTTGTCACACTGCAACACAATGGATCTAGCCCACCAACTGAAAACCTGAACAGCTATTTGAGCTGCGAGTGACCTCATTACCTCACCGAAGTACTCGACCTCCAGGACTGCCTTATGAGAAGCATACAAGTCCATCACCTTGACAGCGGATTCCAGAATCCTCTGCCGGGACACTCTAACCTGCAGTGAACGAACAACAACCAAAGAGACAATAGAGCATTGGTGAAGCATTCAAGTGAGACAATAGAGCGTTGGTGAAGCATTCAAGTGAGACAATAGAGCACCATCACTTCTGGAAACACATTGCAGCTAAGGACTGAGATGGTGTGTGAGAAAGCACCCTTTAGGCACTAGGGTCAAAATTGGAAAAAGAAAGGTCATTTGCAATTTCAGCACACTTAATCATTCCGCGTCTTTCACGTCTCATAAAAAATGGACTTGTTGAATGCCTTTACCAAGACCCCATTCTTTCACGCGATCTTCACACACAGTCAACTCCACGGGCCATACCGAAGAGACCAAAGAAAGCAGGCCAAGCATAATCCTCTTCCTCTATTTCCTTCTTCCCCCTCCTCCATTCTTGCGTCTCCTCCTCACACAGTTTCCCTTCCACCTTCCACCTTCCCTCTTTCTTCAACCTCGTTCCTGGCACCTCTTTCTCTAGCTTTGTTTGCTCCGACTTCCGTTCTCCGCCCTTTGGTAATTTTTTATGTTTACTTCAATGTTTCTCCTGGTCCACCCTTTCATCCTTTGGTGTTTGCACTACTGTTTTCACTGTCTTCCCAATAGTGTTCCTTGAACTTCCTTCTGTTCATTCTCCTCGACCGTCCCCGGGCCCCCCACTCTCTCCTCGCTATTCTATTCTCGTCCCCCCTCTTCTGGGCCCAACGTCCCCCCTCTTCTCGTCCCTCCTCCTCTCCCTACCTCCTGCAGCCTTGTGTTATGATTCTGGTTGTCTGCTGTCTGAAGACCAGTACTCACTCACATGAACTCCCAGGTATGCCCATACATACACAGAAGGAAGGGGAGATGATAGGAGTATCGCACCGCACAGGGAGAGATAAAGACAGCGGAAGACTTGACTATGCGATATGACAGGGTACACTGAAAGTGCAATTCACTCAACTCAATCCTCACAACCAGTCATAAAGAAAAGCCGAGAAGATCACATCCAGGAAACAATGAAACGATGATAGTCCAAACCCAGTATTACACTGTTTATTAAACTCAGAGTGTCAAATTGTCAGAATAACTTCAGACCTACAGTGCGCTGCTCAGAAATGAGCAGCGCTTCACTCCCCAACCCTGAGTAACCACTTGTAACACCCCTGAGCCCCTGAAACATCAAGCGCCACCAAATTACTGCCCACAGAGAGCAGTGCCACCCTGAAACAGGCCTCTGAGGCCAAGCGCCACTCAGAGGATGAAGAAGAAGACCAGCGCCACAGTATCTGAGGATGACGAAGTGTTGGAAGACTTCCCGGGTGGAAGTCTGCAGCTGCGCCACCATAGAGGAAGCTGCAGCTATGGCTGCAGCACCACAAACCCTGTGACCCCACTCCGGAGGAGGGTCCAGCTATGGCCGGCACTCTGAAGGTCTGTCTTTGTCCGTCTCCCACAACGCTGAGCCGTCACCACTTCCGGTTCACGCATAGGCGAAGCAACTTTTGCCGCCTCTTAGTGCCGCAGCAGCAAGGTACTCGGTACCAACTGCCAAAAGCCCTGAACCGATGTGCCTAACCTATCTGTAGCTACTCTAGCCTAGACTTCGACCTAGACCGGACTGACCGACCGACCGGTACCGTTTCAGTTTCGGCCTCTCGGCCTCTACGTTACCCGGCTATAGGCTATAGGACCGTCTATCAGCATAGGCCTTAGGGCCTGTCTGTCCTAGGGGTAGCCCGGGCCTGCTATTCGCAGTTAGGGTAGCAGTAGGAAATTCAGTTGGTGCTGGGCCTGTATTTTCCCAAATTTGCAGATATGTCCCTCACGAATTTCCACTACAGGCAGGTCTCTCGGTTAGCCATCAGCCAAACAAAATTACGAATCTACCCTACCTATGGTACAGCCTTGACAGAGAGGCGCTACAGGCGACCAGAGAACAGCAAGTCATTGCACTCGTCTCTTAACTCGTTTTCTATGTTGTTTCAGGTTTAATAAACCTGTAGATGCTTAAGCGATCGCACGTCGCCTCGGCTGGCCCCATGCTGCAGCGTTTGCAATATTTTTGTCCATTTTTGTTTTTATGCACCTAACATACTTTGTACATCAAAGTTCTGACGTCACTTGTACATTAGACTATTGCGTAAAACTTAACAGATTCTTCCTTTGACTCCTCTCCATTCTCTATTCCTCCTGCATTGCCATCATTCCATTTGATAACACGCTCTACAGAGTCTATGCTTGATTTCTTACTTTAATCCCTGTTTTTTCAACTAGACCTATTGCCACTCCACCTGCAAGAGGAGACGGAAAACAGAAAAAAGGAGTACACAAATGCATATAGAAGAAAAAGGGAAAACAAAATCACTTCTCTAAGTGTCACATATCAATCAGCTAAAAGAGCACACTTCATGACCCAAGCTAAAAAAATAAGAGCAGGCAGCACAAGGTCCCAAAAGTTCTACACAAAAAAACGTTTTTTTCACCTTGCTTTTGCAGTTCCTTCCTTTCTTTCTTTCAGCTCTCTGAGAATTGCCCGGTGGAGCGTAGAGAGATGGGGAGAAAATGACAACAAACAGGGGGCTGTGACAGACTGTTCCATCGGAGTCTCACCGACTCGTTAGAAACTGCGCCTCTGTATATTGCCATACTGTTACATTACAGAGATATAACCCATAAACTGTGGGCAGAGAGCTAGAGCATGAAAGCATAAAAATCAGTGGGGTTGTGACAGACCGTTTCGCTGGAATCCGGTCTACTCATCAAGAGAACAAACCAACAGCACCCCGGAGTCTCACCGCAGATGCAAGTAATAATCCGCCTTTAAACCCTGACCAACCCCTGGGCCACAACCAACACCACGAGTCGAGCACCAGTGCATTCTAGGGTACCTGTGACCCACATCAGCCGGAACATGGTACAGACTGTAGGTTCACAACTTCACACCCGTAGGTCTGCTACAGTAAAAAAACACACTCCGGAAACACAGGACTAGTGGCATCATATGATAAGTGACAACAAGGGAGTAACAGCGAGGGGAAAGACAGGAGGGCAACAAAGGTAGGGGAGTAATGAGGGGAAAGAGAGGAGGGCAACAAATGTAGACTAAGGAGGAAACATACACTAGGGATGAAATAGGTGATGACATGGAAGACCTGGGTGCAAATCCTCAGTACAGCAGCTGCGATGAGAGCCATACTCCAGACACAGAGGACTAGCGGCATCACACGACCAGCGAAAGGATGTAACAGAGAGAGGAAAGACAGAAGGAAAACAAAGGGAGAGTAGGGAGGAAATGTACGCTAGGGATGGAGAGGGCGATGACACGGAAGACCTAGCTGAAGATTCCCAGTACAGCGGCTGCCAAGACAGCTGGCATTAACCATACCAATTCAACACTCCCGAGCAATGGGACTTTGGTTGGAGTCCAGGACAAAAGAACAACAAGCCGCAGCACAGATTTATTCTGCTATCAAGTCTTATCAATTTCTATTGGATCAATTTGGATGTAAGAAATTACTCGACAACCGGGAAGACATACATACGACCGACAAGCACACGGATGGCCTCCAGTCAGCAGGTGTCATGCCAGTACCTTTTGTCGTTGCAGTCGCCCTGCCCGCAGTTCTCTGGCTTCCCTATCACTACTAAGGCCTACTCCCTCTGCATTCTGCTGCTGTTGTAACCGCTGCAGTGCTCTTGATAACCCGAAGGCCGTGGAATAGAAATACTGCACACCAGAACAGAAATGCAACACAAGAAAGAATGTTATGGTGGCCACTACGACACCGAGGTGGGTACATGAGCGGTGACTGAATGATAAACACTTAAAACCGCGTCACAAGATTGAAATCCATGAAAAGTTGCAAACTCTGTGGAGAAGGGGGTACGGAGTGCACGCTTAGGTCGCCCTCTTCTGCTTGCTCTGGCCAGACCTTTCTCTCAGGCATAATTTAATTGATTTCCGAAGGGTACGAAGTCGGTAGATGTCGAAGCAGCCAACGACTGCTTAGTTAGTCTCACCCGACCACCGACAGATTCGTACTGCTCAAGTATGCGATGTGCTCTTTCATGTACATATAGAGAGATGGACAGCACAAACAAGCCTTAGAACATCACATGTGCAGAAAAGCAGATATGCACATCCGAGTAACATGAGAACAAGATGACAAAAAAATATTGAGAGCAGAGGACTGGGCAGCGGGAGAGAATCGACTGTGATCTAGGCATCCTTAAACAAGCACCTCTACCAGCAAAAGGGTTGGGTTTCCAAGTGTCGTTGCCCAAAACAGAGAGTAATCCCATTTAAAAGAGGAGGCAGGGAGCCAGGCAGGGGGGGCAGGTAGGGGGTGGGGGTGAGGGCTTAGGGGGAAGCAGACTATATGCCATTTTTTTCAACGACAACCATCCAACTGACCTGGCGTCTTGTCTCAAAAGGAAAAAGGAACGGACAAGCTCTTGTGAGCTGATGGCACCATGGCGGCAACCCTCCGCTGCACAACATAAGGGCATCCTGCATCCACATGAAAGCAACCCATACACTGTTTGTCAGCATCAGTGAGAAATCCAAAAAACATACACCACGTGGCATGATGAGGGCATTGTAACTCACGATGAATGGCAACAGCACCAAGGTCCACTGAAAATCTTCTGCTCTTTCTTCCCGCGGCAGGTCTGCGACATGCACGGGGCATGGGCGCCAGGATGGGACTCTAGGCGCCCCACGGTGTGCTGAGAATTCTCTCCTCGTTTTCCCACACTTGTCTTTGACATGCACAGGCATACAGGGCCGGGGACGCCACAATGGGATTCTGGGCACACCTGTGGCCTTGTTTTTTAACAGCGCCCCTACGACCATGTGGCATGCCCCTTAATGTTTTTATCAGCCATATCACTACATTATAACAATCGCTATTTGGCGGTCTGTGACCAGCAGCAGATCTGGGCCCTTGGTTTCCTTGGTGCGCAGCGGTCCAGATTGGCTGCTGATCGTTTTCGATGTCATCAACTCGCAATCGGGACCGTCGTCTGCATTATACTGCATGGTCCAGATTGTGTTTCAATCGTTTGGAGACGACCGCTAGGCCGGTAGCGAAATCACACTGGGCAGGGCCGTGGGCAGACGATCGCTAGGCCTGTAGCGAAGTCACACTGGGCCGGTAGGCCCTGGCCCGGTAGTGCCACGCACGGCACTCCGCACTCTGCACACGCACATGGGGGTGATGTCACAAACTTTTTTTTGCAAGGCAGCCCCGGAAAGAAATGGCGCCCCTAACTAACTGGCTACACTCCCACTTCGACACTCTGCACTGCTGTACCCTATTATTCTGCTACAATCGACTTCGACGTGACTATGCTAGGTGCTACTCTACACTACTGCTCTCTCTCTCTCCCCTCCCCTTCCCCCCCCCCCCCCCCCCCCCCCCCCCCCCCCCCCCCCCCTCCGGCCTCATCCCTTACACCCCTGTTGAACGTTTGCCACATTTCACTTCGACGATACTCTACACTCGGCACCACTACTTCAACCCTCTACCATCGACGTACTCCACACTACTACTCTACGCCTCTCTCTCTCTCTCTCTCTCTCTCTCTCTCTCTCTCTCTCTCTCTCT